AAGACGTAGTAGTGAGTCGGATGCGAGCACGGTGATTGCTATCGCTCACGCCTACACCCAGGGAAAGCCCGCGTACACGTTGTTCTACAAGAGGACGAAGCCATCGTAAGACCAGAGATATTTACCTGTTGCATCTTTCTTCGAGTTGTCAATTTCGCTGTCAGTTGTATCTTCAGCCAATTCCCCACAGCATTGGATAATCCCTCTCCCTCTATGATAATGGTACATGCAATGGCTTATGCGCGGTTTTAGTGGCGAGACTTACTCAGCCAAGGAGACAGAGAATAGTGTTGTTTTTAAAATAGTATAGGCTTAAGACTTAGATACGAACGGAATTGGAGACTGAGCACGTCGAAGAAATGAATGGTACACATACCACCCGACATCGAAACCATATACTACGTGCTTGAGGTTTTGGTTACACAACAATATCAGAGTTACGAAACAGATGGACATCGTGTATCGTAAGCCGGGTGTCACTGGCCCCCATCCTTTCCCGACCTTTATGTGTTCGCCACACGAATGTAGATCGTATACAGTATGTGTAGAGCTACGCCTACGAATGATGCGAGTACGTGTGAGCATGCCCTGAAGCAACATTGCACGACCGTGACTTACTCTATAAACTGAACAAAATATACAGAGGGCCAGGCCCTCGAGGACAATAAAAGGAGCCAAAAAAAAAACTGACCGAAAGATCCTCATAACATGGTTAGCAGGTTATTCTGACATCTCCTTCGAGTCCCCAATGGTGAGGGCTAAATGTAAACCCGAATTCAAGCATAAAGCAAGACGAGACAAGAACATTATGGAGAACATGACCCCCGGACCAAGAGCATTTTCGCCTTCCGGGTTAGGCTATCTCTGAGCGTTCCTTGTAGTACTTATGTATGCTTGTGCTTGTTGCCAAGGAAGTCAAAGCGGGCGGAGTGGTTAGAGGCAGGCAGCGCGATACCATGGAGAAGGAAGAGGCAGAGCAACTGGCCAGATGTCTGTGCTTGAGGCCTCACTCGGACTGCAGGGGACAGCTGAGACTGGACGCTCGGAACGGCTTCTGTATACACATCCATAGTACATCTCGATGTATCCGGAATGAATGACGCACAAATGAAACGTTCCATTCAGTTGACTTCTAGTTGGACTATCTTCTCGACAATTTGACGAGGGACGGGCTGCTCGATAGTGGCAAAGTCAACGAATGGTGCGCGAGAGCGCGAGACTGGTGCTTACACGAACAATCAGCAACTTGATGACTTGTTTCAAAAGTCCAGTGACAATCTGTCACAGCGGAGGCCGCACACGTCGCCAGCTCCGCTCAAGAATGGGTCTCTTCGGCGGCTGGGTGTAAGAGCTCGAATGCAGTACATTTCGAGGAAAACAGAATCCCCGGTGCGCTCTGTTCCAACAAGCATTCAGATCAGCTGTGAATTTTGTTCCCTGTTCTTCTCTACACGCCTGAGGGAGAGCAGCTTGCCCTCGAAAATGGATGTAGGTTGGTATAGTTCGGAGCGACAGCTGTAAAAGTACTCTCCTGCGTTGGGCGCTCTGAGCATGATCAAACATGGTAAAACCCGGGAAAAATTCATATGGAAATGCAGCACTATGTGACAACATCTGCGTGTAGATGGCGACAGTTGTGACGGAGCAACCAAAGGTCAACACAGAATCCAATACTTCGACAGCCACCCGAGATGACTTCGGCGGGACGATTCTAAGCCTTCCGAGCGTCAAGAAGAGACACCTTCAATCGCAGCTCGGAGACATTGCTCTCTGATCCCACTGTGGGGTACCATACGGCACCTACATTCCATATGACGGGCTTATCCGACTCTTCAAAGCGGAACGTGGAGAGCAACACGGACAGGACAACCTCTGAATGTAGGTCAATCAAGAGACAGCATGCCTGAAGAAAAGTAAGTTTGACGCACTCATTTCCATCTCCGAGAATTTGAAGCCACTATGAAATGAAAGTGAGATCAGCTGTAGTGTCAGGATTCAGGAACAGGACGTACATGCATGCTCTCTTCCCTCCCAGGAAAGTCATCCTGTGCGAGACAACGAGGTGAGTGCGGATCAGACGAGCAACAAGTATAACACACAAGTTAGAGTAGACGCCAGGAATCGAGGCGTCAGTGACCTTCGTGGGGAGCGGCAACAGCCAGCGTTCGGGCTTCCACTCCAGAGAGTCCTCGCCCCAGACGGCTGGCCTCAGGTTAGACCCCATTGTCCCGACAATGAGTTCTGTGCCCTCTGGAATCGGGATCTCCGTAATTAATGTCCCGTCGAGCCCCATGATAGGCTCGGATAAGGGTAGAACGCTGTCCTTTGTGGCCCTGCGGACGGAAAATTAACAGGTTCGAAATTGAGATAAATCAACTACGTACACGCGGGTGAGCCCTGTAACAGGAGGAAACCTGATTTTACTCTTAATGAGAATGTCGTCAAGTCGAATTGCAGCGTCACATACACACGCAGCGTTTCTCGACAGACCGCATCGAGCAGACTGAGCTTGTTCAAGTCTTCGTAGGATATGTTCTCTCCCGCGCCCGCCGCTAGTATTTCTTCTCGCAACTTGTCCTGCACCTCGGGGCGCTGGGCAAGGATATGCAAGATGCGAGAAATCGAGTTTGATGTCGTGTCCATTCCAGCGAAGACGAAGGACCTAAATGAGATCAAGGATGGTTGAAAAAAATCCATGTAGACTAATGAATTTTGTCACCCACGAGATTTGTGCAATCAGCTCCTCTTCCGACAGCCTGTTGCCCTTGGATGCGGCAGAGTTTGCTTTGACTGTCGGAGGCGTGAGCACCGTTAAGGCAAAAGGTAGATGGCAACGTACTCAGTATGCTCATAAGGTCCTTTCCTTCTCCTATCTGCTGAACAACCGCCCGGTCTCCTCGAGCAAGAGCTGCCTTCTTGTCCTGGTAAACCTCGATCGACTTCTGAGTCATTATATCTATGATGCTCAGGACCCTCTGCAAGTCCTTACTCGGGACCAACTCCACAAGGCGCCTCCGTAACCATGCTGGTCCCAGTGCAGCAAACAATGAGATGAAGTACCGAGAATGATCGAACTTCTGCAGATTGGGGCTGGCGCAAGAAGTCATTAGGCATACACTCTTGGCGGTCACGAAGGAATATCCGTACCTCAAGTCTTTCAGTGCCTCTCCGAACGCATCTTGAGAGTCCTCGGTCAATGAATCGAAAGAATAGCCAAACCCGCCTTGCCCGATAAGTTCAAGAGCTGTCCGGCCGGTCCATCCTAGTACATCAAGCTCTTGAGGCCCTTGGGCAACACGTTGGGTGATAGCAGTACGAAGCTGTCAATACCCGAGGGTCAATTCGGTGTCGGATGATAGCTAACGTCAGCGCACTTTGAACGAGACACCGTAGAAAAGCGGGATCATGTTCCGCATGTGTGCAACCGAGAAGACCGGGTTGAGCATCTTCCGTTGCTTCCGGTGGACTTCCCCTATTGAGTTTGTGGTCATTGAACTGGTCGTTTCGATTCAAGGAAGGAACGAAACACACCTAAAGTAGAAGTGAGGCTGGGACCGAAAATGAGTTTCAGTGCCCTAGGACATAATAAGTAAATATCGTGCAGAGATCGTGACGCAACCTACGCGATGAAACCTTCAGATTCCTGGTATATATGCTCCTCTTTGAGTATAATAGTGTGCAGTGCCTTCGGATCGGAAACATACAGGACTGTACGCTGTGATTTCAATGTGAATAGACACAGATGGCTCTCGTATCGGTGCTCATACCCCCAACATGCCGTTCATTTTACAAACAGCTCCATACTTCAGAGCAACCTCTTTGTTGAATTCTGTCCCATGACGACCGAAGAAATCGCCAAAATGCCCTGTCCATTTCTCAATTTTAAAAAATGACCAAAACAATAGAGAATAAATGTACATACCGTACAAGAATGACGTACTTCGAGGACCCGGGAGATTTTTCAGCACCGAACTAACGCGCCTCTTGCGGAAGTAACCCCAAATAACCCAGGCGAACCCCATAAAGACGGTAGAGGAGATCAAGTCTATGTACCCCATGTCGTGGAGTGGAGATGTGTACTGCATCTTCGAGAGGGCAGTAGTTTTCTCTGTACTATCTGAGCCTTAAATATCATTGTTTATATGGTTCTCAAGAAGCGCGATCACGTACCCGCTCATGTGTCGACGGGCCGGGACTGTAAGCCATCCTAACGTATCAAGTTTGGTCATAAGATCACTGGAATATACTTGTGCGCGCCATTCACACAAAAGATTCAGATGTCAAATGTCTTTCCCGAGGTATCGGCTTTCATGTTACGAGCAAGAGCCTATCTTCGCTTTGTACTTTGTGCTTACCTTGCGTTCTTATCGCACCGGTCAGAGGTTCAGAAATCAAAGATGGGCTCATCGCTGCTCTAGGGAATCATCCTCACCAAATCCTCCTAAGCATGGGACCAGGAACGATAGGGGACCAGTGATGTGGGGAAACGTCGATGGCGTGTTCGATTGTGCCTTATCTCCCCAAGCACAACGTCCAATACTCACCGGTGTAAGTCATCCAGTGCAAAATGAATGTTTGCACTCACTGATAGCGTCACTCTGAACTAGAAGTCGAGTCATGATAACTCGCGCCGCTGATAATACAATCTAATAAAGTACGCTGTGTCAAGCCCAATCCCAATCGTACACAAAGTCAGAGACTCTTACGATTGTAATGCAATATGGGTCAGACTGACGTCGTTGACACGACTCTGACGAGGCTCGACGCAGTAGATTTACTCGCGTGATCCATGCATTATTAAACCGACTGTGACGGGTCAAAAAAGTCTCGAGATGCAAACGTTCAGAGGTCGTCTCCGAATTGGCATCGAGTTCATTCCGCCGTACGTACGCTACAGGCTAAGAGGCCGCATTAGCATAGACCATGCATGGGGCCTAATCACATTCTGATCAGAGACTATGCCTCGCTTGCTCTTTGTCTGGGCGCCATGAGTTTGAGGAGCGTCCGTGCTTCTCCTGAGCCGCCCGTTCCCGTCTGTGTTCCTCGTCTATGCTATGGCTGGTTCTGTTCGTCTGTCTTTCAAGTCATCGATTGGGCCCTGGTGTAACATGAATGCAGACCGTGAGCCTCGGAGTTGGACATTTCAAGGGTGCAATTGTTATCCTCTCCGGCATGAATGCGGGGAGGCAATGATATAATGCGTGTACCTAGGACGCGAGAGGTCGTGCTGCAGAGCGACGCATCACAGCACCCCTACCAGTGTTGGAGGAGACAGTGAGATGGTGCAAGGGTGTTGATGCATTGCGATAGTTTGTGCTGGATTGCGTCGCGTGAGGGAAAGGCCCGCTTGAAGTCAGGAGACTCTCTCCCGCTGCTGCGTGTCTGTTGTCTGCAACAAGAGACGCCGATTTCAATAAGGTGAGCGTTGGCTTAAACGCCGCCGCCCAGAGGGGTGTCGTACGATCCTGCTGTCACCCCGAGTCCCAGACTGGTACTTGAGGTATCTACGATCCCCAGCAGTCTTTCTTCGAGCGGAACCATCCACGCGCGTCCATCTTCGCGGACGAGCTATTGACCCTCGCAATGTACGCCGGCTGAACGGTCTGAAAGCTAGTACTTCTGGTATCCGGCGCACTATACACATAATCAGCGTCCCGTCCCAATAATATGGCACGTCTCCAACGCACCTTGAACCGCCTCGCCGCGCTGATCACCCCAACGATGAGTTGTCCTGCAATGAGCTCAGAGTTTTCGTTGTCGAGGTCTAGTCGAAGGCCTCCCAGGCTTGCAGCTGACGCCGCGCTCGACGCGTCACCATCATCTTGCCATCATCCCCGACGGTCATACTTGTCAGGACTCGGCAAGTTAGTCGTTTACTGCACCTAGCTGTCACTGCGGCAGATTCAATCTCTGAACAATACCGCGGCCGTGTTCTCGCTTGCCACACACCGTGTGGTAATAGACCCAGCGCCGAAAGGCTCGCTCTCGCAGCATGCAGTCAAGCTACCTCCGCATATCTGAATCCTCGTCATATCTCGTCCGCTTCCGAATATGCAAGGTGCTCTTGGTGGCTTATAACACGTTCATCATCTTTCCCTGGACGCTGTTGCCTCATCTCATCCAAACACGACATTAAGCTCTACATAGCCACACAACTCGCGACGCTTGTGAGAGGAACAGAACGGAGATGCTCTGCCATTGTTTGCTCGGTGATGGGCCAAATTCTTACTTCGATGGAGCTGCCGTCGATGACTATGTTGAATGCCATGCGGAGACACTTTCCGTGCTGAGACAATACCGGCTAAGTAGAGCAAGGCAGTGGACTTCTGACAGGTGTTGCGGATGACTGTACACCGATACGATCGCTCCGCGTATCATTTCACGACATTCTAACGAACAAAGTCCAAGGAAAGTTTTACATCAATATTAGCGCAATGTATCATCGCAACCTAGCATTCGCGTCCCTCCGTGTAATGAAGGTCTAACTACGTTTTAACATCTGCCGGTGGGTCAGCTCCTACCTACCCAATTCAGCTATCACCAACTTGCAGCGTAGAACAGTAGAATTCTCCACAACTGCGATACTCATGCCGATTTTGGACTGCCCACGTTAAGGCTGTACCTTATTCAGGTTCGCTTGCGAAAGAAGTGAAGCAGTTCTTCGCCAATGAACATTTACTATTCTGGCTCAAGCACTGAGTCTGACGCACCGCCTGACCAGCGTGGCTACCGCGCTGATGTCACCAATATCATGCTTTGCGGTATGTGATTTCTCATATCTAGTGTTTCTCTCAAGACAGCATATTCGATGCTATACCAACCGCAACTCCAAGATCGGAAGGGCTATCTCCGATACTACTCGCTTTTTTGAAATGTTTGCGCCAACAATGCTGCGAAGCACGCACACGTCTGTACTTGTCTGCTCTCCCTTTTGCACCAATATTATTCTAGAATGCTTGGACGTTCTCTGCCACATTTCCTGTTGCTGTTACTGTTACTGATGGTTGTCATTTTGGATGGGCATCTTGGCAGAAAAACTCATCAGAAGGCGGGCTGCATTGAAATTACACCAAATGGGTGGTGAACCGTGGCCCAAACATACAGCTCTGGGTTCCACGTATTCGATGCGGAAACAGGGATGCAGATTGGCTCCTCCATTTTCCCTCGAGGCGATACATGTGTTGTTACATCTGTGGCAATCTCGCAAGACGGGCGACGAACTGGATCCGGTTCGCGGAATAGGGCAATCTGCGTGTGGGATTCAGACACTGGGATCCAAATTAGCTCACCTTCAAGGTCATACAGGCGAAGTTATATCTGTGGCAACATTGCAAGACGGACGGCGAGTCGTGTCTGGTTCTGGTGATAATAAATGCCGTGTATAGGATGCAGACACCGGAATTAAAATTGGCTCCCCCCTGAAAGGCCATACAAGAGGTACCACATCCGTGGCAATCTCGCAAGACGGGCAGCGAATAGTGTGGTTCGAATGACCACGCTGTCGTGTGTGGGCTGCAGACACGGGGCCGCAGATTAGGCTCCCTCTGCACGGCTATACGGGAAGCGTCATATCTGCGACAATCTCACAAAGCGGGCGATACACTGGGTCTGGTTCGAGTGATCATACTGTCCGTGCGTGGGACGCAACCACCGGACTAAAATCGGCTTTTCGCTCTAAGGACATAGCGCTCTTGGAAGACAGATAGCGGATCGCGTCTGGCTTAATTGACAAGAAAATTCGTATGTGGGATGCAGACATCGTGCTATAAATCGGCCCCCCGTTCCAAGGTCATACATGGTTTATCACATTTGTTACAATCTCGCCAGATGGGCGACGAGTCGTGTCTGGTTCGCGGAACAAGATAATCCATGTGTGGCATGCAGACACCAGGCTGCACATTTACTTCCCCCTCCGAGATCGTACGAACATAGTCACATCTGCGGTAATCTCGCCGGACGGGGGGCAAATGATTTCTAGTTCACGGGACCAGATAGTATGGAAAGTCGTATTTTGGTGATTCCTTATAGCTCAATGTCAAATTTGCTCTCAGGATGTCTCACATTTACTCGATATTTCTTCCCAGTCACTGGGCAGACGAGTATGTGCCCAAGGCTTGGAATGGACGAATACCCATGAGCGCGCTTGATCAAAATACCATGTATCCGCCTCGATGGCGAACGGTAAGGACAACTGCACGGAGTGAAACTGCAGAATTACAAATGGGAGTCTGGGTAGACTTAACTATGTTTGTGGATGTCGAGGACTAGCTAGACAGCCAGTACGATGCCGTGAAGAGAGGACGAAATAGAACAGATCAAGCAAAGTGAGACAGACGTCGATACATAGCTACCTCAACGCGTGCAGTTGGACAGCATATAGCATGTACAGGCTCAACTCAGGGCCGGTCGGAACGGTATATTACAGACGGACAGTCCGTGACTACATGAGACTGTCCGTATTCTAGTTTCTGTATATGATCAAGAAGAGCGGGCAAATAGCTTCATTCTAAACACTACCGTGAGCATGCGGCAGTATGGTCGACAGGAACTTAGGTCTCACCTTATACACTTTACGGAAGAGTGGCGCAATATCACACGCCGTCAGCCGATACCACGAACAAGAGCGACAATTCACTAACCGATGCTCTCATCGTAATTTAAGTCCCCTCCGGGCTCACCGATAACAGAGTCATACCCTTGCGGGGGCTAACCATGAGCTGCACTCTGAGCGTGAGAGTTGTACATAAAGCGAAGCAGTACGTACGGCCGTGAGGGAGGTATCTCCAGTGAAGAGCTTTTTGGCTTTGCCGAGGACGACATCGTTGAGGAGGGCAGCCCTATAGGGAGAGCCACCGTTCTCTTTAACGTAGTCGTTCGCCTGAGCACAGCGATCAGCACGCGTGCGTAACAACAGACACGAGCGTACCTTGGAAGATGTCGCAGAGGTGTAGATGCCTGCGCCGAACCTGCCAAAGTTTGTGTTATTGCCCGCTTGGGCGAGCTCGAAGGACGACTACGGGAGGTTGTGGTAAGACTGGGTCGCAGACAGCATGGGAAACGCACGCGGATTATGCTGCACAGACTGCAGTCTCTGGCAGAGCAGAGGTCCTGGTTGTATTCGTTATCGCCGAGGAGACACGAGCGGGAAGTCCCGTGCCAGCGGCGTCTGCTGTTCCCGTTCGACAGACCCGTGCGGCGCTCGACGGCTAGTCTACACGCGCATAGTCAGCACTGAGCTACGCTTTCGCCCAAGAGGGCAGGACTCACTTATAGCGAGAAAACCTGTCAGAGTGCCGCTTGTCACCATATATCTTCCAGATCTGTGTGTGGTGGTTAGTTTGGACAGCACGGTACGGAAGAGAGACAGACTTTGATAACCGTCGGCTTAGACGTCGGATGTCGCCACCCGTCGGTGAACTGCTTCGATACTGGCCCATCGCACATTAGAGAAACTTCGTAAGACAGGTTGCATGGATCACCCACCGCTTGCGTATGCCTTGTGCCTGTTCGGTATATTTAAGATGATCGGTGCTGTTGCTTCCGATCAGCGTCGCCCAAAGGCAGTGATGAGGGAATCCTGACCAGCACCAAGTGTGTCCTGCGAGCATGCCTTGGAGCAAAAGTCGCTCAGTCGCCCATTGACCATCGCCTTTGGCCACTTCGTGCAGCTGCTCGCGTCAGGTCAATATACATAGTGGACGTACATGGGGCGTCACTCACAATAGACATGCCTCCGCTTTCCCTGCCTTGATCGCGTCTCTGCATGATTGTGCATGAGCCACTCGTATCTTAAGAGGTAAATATATGCTCACTCACAGACGATGCTTATTCGAGCAAAACTCGCCGGGAAACCCATCTTTACCGACATGCACCAAGGCTTTACATCCTGCCAGCTTGCATAAAATCCCAGTCTCAACCGGGGCGGGCGACGATCGTGGAGTCCTCTCGGAGGCGTCGCTGGCACGATACTCCTTCGCACACCGTTTACCACAAAAACTATGCACTAATGGTCGAGCCATTAGTATTCCAATGGGCCATCTGCGCTCAGATAAGACCGTCACTACGCACCTTTGCCACTCTCGACGTACGCCGGCCGCGTCTTACAATTCTGTCGACCAACGTACAGTGAAAATTCACCCCAGCATATCCAGACTCGAAGCGTACCTTGCATCGCCTAGCTGCCCGAGCGAGCGCAGCAGCCTCCCTGTGCGTTGTCCCGCAGTACGACGAGAACGACCCATCAGGGTCCCGCCATACCGTCCGCCCACATCCTGCAAATGCGCACTGAGTCGTCGCACCTCGCGTTCTGTCTGAGCACATTGTTATTCACTCTGACGACACCAAGGCCAGATCGACGATGAAGGACAATGCAGATCTTGCCCGTGGAAGCGCCCAAGCGCACGCGACAGTCAATACCATGAATCTAACCCAGCTGGTTCCCATGTGCTCGAATGTTCATATATATGACATTGAGATACTTGATATCAATACAGCGTCAGGAATTGACTGGAGATTCGTATGTGTCTCTTTGCTCGGACTGTTCTCAAGATGAAATGTAATGGTTACTTGTTCTCGTGCTTCCTTGAATGTTGATGAGCCCCACTTCGTCTAACCAATCCCACTAACCAGACGGTGATTATTGGTATTACAATAAATTCCTAGCCCACACGAAACACGCATACATAGCTCTAGAATTCTCCAAGACAGAATGAAAAGTATGAGACACGACTCACATGAGCAAGGACATAGCGAAGATATAAATATCATATTATATGAGATTGATGCTTCTGAAATGATGATAAATCAAACAAGATCCGCATTTTTGAGATATTGCTGCACCAGTCCGTCCCGAACTAGGGGTACACCGATTGTCAAAGAGACGAAATATAAATTTGGGGATCATACCTGACGACAAAGTGGTTGAAGTTGCCTTAGTATCCTGTACATAGTGTAAGCACAAGTGGGAGCGTCGTCTAGCACGAAAGAAAACTTACAATGACCGACGTGATGTACCCATAGAACCGGCGCGATTTCGGCGAGAGCTCTTTGTGCTGCTCTCTGAATTTTTGGTGCAGGTCTGCATAGAGACATCTTCAGTATAGGATAAAATGACCTCGACAATAGAAAAACTAGCATTTGGCAAATGTTGGCGCAGTGTTTTCCCTATCGCCGTAGTTTGAGACGTATTTGCTAATCTTGACGCCAGTCTTGAGCTTTTGTCCTAGTAGATCGTACTTGTTCAAGAACACTAAAATGGTAAAGTGAGGTAAATTCTGAGCCATAACGTGATTGAAGAATACATACGGATGATGATACAATCTGAGAGCAGCTTGGACTGAATGACGGACTTCCAGAGGAGTACCGAATCCTCGAGGCGGTTCACGTGTGCATCCTCGGCGAGGTATTCATCAAAGCATGAGATCGGCGCAAGGAATAAAACCGCATTTGCATCGTCAAAGTACGGTAACCATGCTGCACGCTACAGCGCCAACGATGGCACCGCCTTATCAATGAAGGAAACTAGTAGAGCCATATACTCTTACTCACAGACGATCGTGAACCTCCAACGTCATAGATTCTCCATTCTTTCCCAGCAGCCCGATTTGCTTCCGCTGCGTGCATATGTTAGCAATCAGTAGCCCAGCCCTGTCGAGAAGACAAGGGCTCACTCGGATTTTCGAATTTGAGGCAGTACTCCTGCACTCCCAACGTGCGCAGCCGAGCTCGAACGATGTCGTCGTCCGACGGCTCATACCCACGCGACGCTATCCGCTCGACATTGTCGAGGAAACTACAGTGATTTCGTAATCAGCGGCAGATTCGATGTACGACACACAGCTACTCACAAGACAGACGAATCTCCGACACGTATCTTGCGTATGCGCAGCATCGCACGCACAACCTCGTCCTCCCATAGCGCCTGTATGTCCTCGCAACAACCAGCGATCACCTCCGTCGCCCCAGATAGCCGCGCTGCAGATCCACTATCTACCTTTCCGCGGCTCTTGCTCGAGCTGCGATACTGCACGTGGAGTGCTTCACGCCAGGAACGGTTTGAGCGCAAGAACAAGTCGGCACCACCGGGGCTGCGCGAACGCATCTCCCCGACATCATCGCGGTCTGACTGCACGGCCTGTTCGTCGTCCGAGCCATCGGAAGAAGTCACTTCCGTCGAGGCAGCACCAAGAGACTGTTTCAGGTCATTCTCGACGTGTCGGAGAGGCGCAAGGCGGAGCTTGAGCAATGCGTGTTTGCTAGTGAACAAGAGCGATCCGTGGTCGCTAGTTTGGACGCTGCCAGCGTGTGAGATTCGAGAGTGTGCATCGGAGCCTGCTGCACTGGAGGGACGAGAGGTGGATAGTTCATTAGCGAGAGCATCCAGGATGATGTTGACTGTGCGGATGAGGTTCAGCTGAATGACGGCACGCCAGGAAGTGCTTTCGGTTTTCCATGCTTGCGGGGCGAACGTGAGCTGGAGGTCTTTCAGTAATCAGAAGATATGAGTGCTGTCGTCGAGCAAGAAGAGGGCAGACAGACGTACTCTTCAAAGTTGTTGACTTGCCTACGACATAAAGTGAGCATATAACGCAGCATCGGAAAGAGATGACGTACCGCTCTCACTTTGGCCGAGTAGGAGGAGCTTAAAGAGCGACTTGTTCTTCTTCCAAGCTGCCTTCTCTTGCTTGAGCTCCTCGTCAATGCTATCGCTTATACGCTTTGCCTCTGCCTCCCTCTGCAATCTTTCCCCGCGTTCAGTATCAGACTCATTGGGTGGTGGGGCAAGAGCGAGAGTCAGCGGGTCATCAATGCTGGCATTGGACTTGGAGCGAGGCTTGGACATGGAGAGCGGTGGTCGAGACAGAGAACTCGAGAGCCGAGTCCGAGACAGTAGGCGTGCGACGGCAGGCACTGCCCCATCTGTTGTGGTCGAGTCTATATCCTGTTCCTAGCCTCACCTGGTAACCGTTTCAGCCTCGGGGCGCGTCGTCGAGCGGACCCAAAGCGGAATTCGCCCCAATAGCCACCATTTGAAGGCGCCGTTTCATCCACATACTCAACTGAGTCAAGCTCAAGTTGTCCAGATTTCTCCGGTAACGGGAGCGATAATCCACAACCACACGCTCATGATACATATTTATTACTTCTTAGAAACCGCACTCGATCACTTAGAATTCAAGCGGAGCTGGTAAACAATATCAATACCTGCAGCTGCTTGATTCGCTTGGAATCATGCTCAACGACATCTCAGACACTCAATTCATGGAATTAAAAAAAACGGAGAGGTCTAGCACTGCGGGGAGATGGTAATGGAGCAGCAATCGGCATGGAGATCGCAAGCCAGACGCTGTGCACAACGATTGAATGTACGTCGCTGTGTAGCCGATCACGTAAAATACCTCTCCGACATACCTCGCGGCAGGTACTCAGAGTATAACCAAACTTAGATTCATCCACAACAAAGCGGATGAGACTCACAAACGCTGTTGTATATCGTAATCACAGCAGGACGGACCTCGGAACTTCGAATAAGTAACCTGCAAGGACTCGCCCAAATGTTTGCATCGCGTGCGCTGTATAACTCAGTGCTCAACGAACCAACCAATGAACGAATACACATCGCAATGCGGTTTGCCAAGGGTATTCGCGGTCCACGGTCACAGTAACGTTCGGATGCTTCGCAAGTTACGTCGTCCCAGCTTGTCCACGGCGGGCATAAACACCAGTGGCGCCCCTATCGTCGCCGGAAGGAGGCTTAAGGAAGGTTGCTGCACCTAGGAACAGATAACGATTAGTATAATGGTGGTTACTATTGCATGAATGCATCCGTTGTCACGTCGAAAGTGATCATAGGGCAATTCAGTGAGGGACACAACGACTGAGAAGGGAGAGCAATCGAAGAAACGTGTCATAGCCGAACTTGTTCTGAAGCGCAATTTTGAAGGGCGCAATGCGCATCAGCTTTTTGCTCCGACACGCGTGGTGCATGGCCGATTCAGGCAGGCAAATCCGATCTTGGCAAGTATGAGACGGTGGTTCTAGTAACACTAGCCTATAACCATGAGTCTGTGGGACATTACCGTCTCCCATTTGATGATTTTCAATGTCCTCATTGTCCCGTGGCAGCCCTTTCAGTAGAGGGCCTCTCAGATGCGGTACCCTTCAAGGCCGAGTACCTCAATGGACCACCTACGATATGCATGAACCAACTTCAAGACTCTCAACTGCTACGAAACATTTTGGGGGCAAAGTTCAACCCGGGCAGGGGTGCACTTTGGATGAGTAGCTTCAGTACTGTCTGTTTGATTCCACCCACTTTATCTACTGACAGTGTCTGCACAATTCTAGGTTCAATCCTGTCAGCTCGGAGCGGATAAATCTGGTCGTGCTCTTGCGGCGATCTGATGGATGTACATGATGCCGCCAACTAAGTGTTTCATGAACCATCCTTTAACCTGATCTCGGCGTAGTACGACCACCTGAAGCTTTAAGTATCGTATGTGGCGACTATTCTCCGTCGGAGATCATGCACTGGTCTCGCGTGAGTGTCGCACTTCAAGAGGATGCGCGTTCCGGTTCCACATTGAACTCTACACCTAGTAGACGCTAATGGGAAAGCAAAAGGTAGATTACACTCCCCCAATTGATCAAGGAAGCACTTTGTCGTTGTCACTAAAGCAATTCATTGAGAGTATCCCCGTGGCGCATTAGTATCATGGTGCACATCATGCATAGTATAAATATCGGGTTCAATCCCAAAGTGTACTCGAAGGCATGCAGGCCATGAGGCCGTACATTCGTTTAGCTAGAGGAACCGAATGGAGGGGTGAGCATATCACAGTACGGATTCAAGGAACACTATGAGATTGATGCTCAATGTTGAACAAGCGCCTAGGAGCACTCTTCGCCCATTTGAGAAAGCGTGTAGGATGCTTTGGCATCACTATCTGCATGGTGTCTCAGTCCGCACAAACTGCTCAGTGTCACACTCTCATACTTTCGGATCTCATCGACTTTGACGTCGCGCACATAGTTATCAGCCGTTATCCCTGATGAACTTACCACGGAATAGCGAAAAGAGCGCATCCCCCGGCGCGCCGCACGAGGACCCGCGCTTCCAAAGGAAATACCCCTTGCATGCTCCTCCCAAGTAATATCTGTAAGAATGAGAAGGACAACTAGAAATCTCAAATCTCCAGATGCTCCATACAATACTTCGCTTCGACTGTTCCATCGAAATATATCCGAATCACCATCCGGAGCTCAAGATTCCGCCAGGAGCATCCGGTAAGATAAATACGTTTAATTTAAGTAGGTGAATGGCAGATTTCGCTCATGGTTCGTTCCTCAAGCCTTTCCCAATCGAATGCGCTGCCCCTTGACGTTGTGCGACAAGCGGTACGAATTTGTCTACCGATGTCAAACGCTTATAAACCCCCCTCCCCCCCCACCTCCAACTCCCTCACACTCGTATCATCATCGAGCGTTGACCGTCATGTCTCTCCACAAAACGGTCACCGTCAAGTCGATGGGACAATCAGTGCGCGACCCTCGTGCTCAGGGTGAATATGGTGTCCAGATACAGTTAGTCGTACGCTCTCCCCCTGTGAAAACCTCGTAGCTCAATCATTATTGCAGGTATCGCACCATTTCTCTCCGCATCGATGCCACCTTCGATGAGAAAGTATCAAAATCCAAGTCCAAGGGCGCACAAGATCCCGCGGACGGAATTCGCAATATTGATGTCCACACAATCTCACCGCAGGATGTTTTCACTCGCTTCTCCACTTCGCCTACCGTCGGTCTCGATGCCGCCGCCGTTCAACGTAAGGCGAAGACCGGTGGGAAAAACGTCATCTCGCCACCAAAGACGCAGCATTGGAAGAAGGCTCTGAACTATGTCTTTGGAGGATTCAATTTTTTGATGTGGATTGCATTCATCGTTACTATTGTATGCTCAGTTTGAACGCTGTACAGTTTCTTCATCTCCTCATTTCCCGTTTACAGCTCTCGTATGAGCCCCTGGGCGGCTCTGATCCCACGGTGTTTAACCTTGGAGTAGCGGTTCTCTTGGTTCGTCTATATGCTACCTATACCCACTGGCTTCAGCTCATGTTCAAGCTAGCTTCTGGTTATTGTCGTCTCCGCCACATTCTATGCCCTGGTGGATTGGCACACGTCGCGAATCATGAGCTCCATAAAAACCCTCATCGCGGAAGAGGCAACAGTTATTCGTGATGGTCGGCAGCAAACCATCTCGTCTAAAGATCTTGTCGTTGGAGACCTGGTTGTTCTTTCTATTGGTGATCGTGTTCCCGCAGATGTCCGCCTCGTACAGACCTCAAGTGACCTACGTTTTGATCGCTCCCTCCTTACAGGAGAAAGGTAGCACACTTTTCCTCCATCATTTTTATTGTCTGATCCTGCGTTCATAGTGATATGATACCCGGAACCCTTGACATGACATCGGAGAATGCCCTAGAGACCCGAAACCTGGCTCTCGCATCGACCTTCGTTGTGCAGGGCAGCTGCACTGGGATCGTCTTCGCCATCGGAGACAAGTCCGTGATGGGTCGCATCGTAGCCATGTCAGGAGAGACAAAGTTCAAGCTCACGACAGTCCAAAAGGAAGTTTGGTTCTTCACCAAGATCATCTCCTGCCTTGCTCTGGGATTCTTTTGTCTCGCAATCATAGTGTGGGGTGCCTGGCTCAGGAGGGTCTATCCTGGTTACGAAAACGCAAGTGGTGCTATCGTCAACTCCATAGGCTGCTTGACGGCTTTCGTCCCTCAGGTGTGCCCAGCATTTTTTTGATTCAGAGACTCTAGAATTCAGAAAAGATACACACAGGGGCTCCCTGTCAGCGTTGCGCTATCTCTAACGATTGTCGCTAAGCGTATGGCAAAGCGCAGCATTCTCGTCAAAAACCTTGCTACAATCGAAACGCTTGGGTGCATGTCCGTACTTTGCTCTGACAAGACTGGCACTCTTACCATGGGCAAGATGGTGTGTTTCATATATTGAGTGAGGATCATGAAAAGCGTATTGACTACTCACTTTGTAGACACTTCAAACTGTTGCGTTTGCTGATCGCTCGTACTCGGTCGACACTATCACAGAGAAATTCTCGCAACAAGACGCCGCTGCGCCCGCTGGCCTCAAGCCCCTCCAAATGATCGCACGCTTGTGCAATGGTGCGAAGTTTGACTCTACGACAGAAGACTGCCCGATGGAAGACCGCATTATCAAAGGCGATCCCACAGATACTGCTATCCTGCGCTTCTCCGAGAGTCTCCGGATACCTTCGCTTGGTCTCGATGCATCTACTCTCCTGGCATCACACGAGAAGCTGTTCGAAATTCCATTCAATTCGCGCAATAAGTGGATGCTCACAGTTGTTCGTGAAAGCCCCGTTGCCGACGTGGAGAAGGGTATAAATGGAGAACCTCAAACCTGGATGCTCGTGAAAGGGGCGCCGGACAAGCTTTTCCCCGCGTGCACAAGTGTCATGCAGGAGGACGGCTCAACGTGCTATTTTGACTCCAATTCTCGACAGAAGACAAGAGCTCTACAAGAGGAACTCAGTGACCAGGGTCAGCGTGTTCTTGCTCTGTGCCAACGGTCGTTTGACGGAGTGAAACTCAACTTCGACACTATGTCCGCCAACGAGATCGAGGAGCTGATGTATGATGAATTGCAAGGTCTCACTTTGGTCGGTCTGGTTGGAATTCGTGATCCACCTCGTCCAGATGTGCCTGGTGCTGTCGCGACCATCCGTAGGGCCGGGGTCCGAGTTTTCATGGTTACGGGTGACTTCAAGTTGACCGCGCTTGCTATTGCGAAGCAGGTTGGTGATCCCAAGCGTTCATATACCTGAAGACTGACATTAGGATAGGTGGGAATAATCACTCAAACCAAAATCGACACTATCGCCGATTTGCGTTCCGAAAAGGAGGCGCGGTTCACTGGTCTACCACGGTCGGCTGTCAAACCCAGCGAGGATGACCCAATGCGTGCACTTGTACTCACTGGTGATGACGTTGAGATGTTAACGCCTGAAGATTGGGATGCGACTATTGGCAACTACACCGAGATCGTCTTCGCTCGAACAACCCCAGAACAGAAGCTTCAGATTGTCGAGGAGACTAAGGCTCGTGGTGACAACACAGTCGCTGTTACTGGTGACGGTGTCAACGATGCCCCCGCGCTCAAGGCCAGTGATATCGGCGTCGCTATGGGTGCTGGAAGTGATGTCGCAAAGGAAGCCGGTACGAACTTTTCCGCTTCCTGACTAGCTTGTCCTGATCACATGTGCTAGCTGCGATGATACTTCTCAACAATGACTTCGCGTCGATCCCGGTTGCGATTGAAATGGGCCGGCTCATCTTCGACAATCTGAAGAAAGTGATAATATATCTGATGCCTGTAAGTCGGTGAATGTCTGACCTTGACTGCGTTCTTTCTGATCTGGACCGTAGGCTGGTTCATATTCGGAGTTCATCCCCGTCTTCTGTAACGCCTTCTTGGGTATGCAGATTGCCCTTAGTTCATATCTGCAAGTCTGCTTTTGCATCTTGAATGATGTGTTCATGTCTATTTCGCTGATGTACGAGAAACCCGAATCTGGTACGTCCTTCCAAAAATTTGCTCTTTTCGCTTCTGACGATATATAGACTTGATGCTGCGGAAGCCGCGCAACGCGCGCACAGATCGTCTTACCGACTGGCGTTTCTTCATTCAAGTCTATCTCGTGAGTGCTTACGTTTTACCTGTCTGTAAATGTCCAGATCTCAAGATGGCCCTGTAGTTTATCGGCTTGATGATGTGGCCATCATGTATGGGAATGTGGTTCTTGTATATGCATAAACAAGGCCTAGGGTTTTATGACGTTTTCTACGTCTTCGATCAATGGACTGGAGGTTACCACGGATATACTGAGGAACAATTGACGCACTTCGTATCAGTGGGCCAGTGCATCTAGTACGTCCATTATCCACGGTGATCCCTCTTCCTACATATCTG